TGAAAGTGCTTTTAGTACTAAATTTGTGGCCAAAAACATGCATTTTTCGAGGTTAAAAATTAGTTTTTCAGGATTTGCTTGAGTGCGATACTCATTTTTTAACATTGTTCTATCTTCTGAAACAGTTTGTGAACATTTTCAAAAAAAACTTTTTTTTTTGAAAATTTTGGAAAAAATCGCCATGGGGTCCCCACACTGCAAAAGTGATTTTTTGAAATTTTTAAAAAAAGTGCGAAAAAACGTTCCAATTATTCAGAAACGATAAAAATAGCATTCTGACAATTTTTTTCAGCCCAATGTTATCAAAAAATCAAAAAATCTTTGGGATCAAAAAATCTCCAAAATCTGATTGTTGTTAGAACTTTGATAGTTCCTATTTCTGAAATATCGCTTGAACTTAACTGAAACCTATAGAAATAGGTTCGAATCTTGTATGTGATCGATTTGACAGTACTCCACCTCAAAAAGAGCAACATTGAGAACCGGTCGAAAAGAACCGGTCGAAAAGACCATTATCTATTTTTTCCTCAAACTCTCATGAAATCTTTTTTTTCTTTGAAAACTTTTGAAATTAATCAAAAAGTGTCATATAGTGCCTAGGGGGGCAAACTTGGAATCAAAAATTAGTTTCAAAAAATGAAAAAAAAGTTTTACCACAGTGGGGGTCGAACCAGCATAGTCAATACTAATGAAACAGGTAGAGGGGGACTGCTGGAAAACTGCTAAATGACAGCTGAAGAGGCGCAAACTGGCGAATGACTGCTAGTTGGCCGAAGGAGAACTGACGGGCCGTCGACGGTCCGTCGACGGACAGTCGGTATCGATAGGAAAACATACTTGAAGATTCTGATTGGAAATCATGCAGAAAACAATCCTCATACTCCCACTAGATTATAGGAAATGATAGAATCTTATTTTCCTAAAATACGACCACCTCAAAAAATAGGTTGTTGAACGACTGCTGAATGACAGTCGAAGAGGCGCTGACTGGCCAACGACCGGTGGTTGGCGGTCCAAATTCCTTCAGAATGGAAAATTTGGTTGAAAAAAGATGTTTCTCTTAAAACATGATAAAAGTCATAGAGGGATCTGGGAATCTATAAAATGTGTTATTAGAAGCACTTCTACGAAAATTAGAATCTGAGGCGCGATTGGTGAAAAACGGCTAAATGACAGTCGAAGATTCGCTGACTGGTGGATGGCGGCTGGAAAAAAACACTGACACAAATCAGTTAGAATTGTCTGAAAATTGTAACTTCCTTATATATAAATCGCTAGAGGCGTCTGTTGGTCTAAAGTTAGGTCTGTCTGTAAATCTGTTTGTCTAAACTTCCATTTCCCATTTTAAAAAACGATTGCAGAGATCTAAACTTTCCTTAATTCAAAATTCCACCTGCAACATTTTTATAATTTCCGAAAATCTGAATTTTTATTTATTTTTCAGCTGCTTTTAAACAAAGATTTTTTATTAATAAAACAATTTCTTTGCAAAAAATTGCAAATTATCCTCCAGAAACCACGCCCACTGCTCTCATCTTTAACAGCGTCACTTCTATAATCGATTGTTGCTCAGCCTTCTTTCCGATTCCGCACATTTCCAGCACAGAAATTCTATAAGGACGATGGACCAGAATCATAACCAATGTGGTTAACAATCCATTACATCCAATTGCAATCATTAGAAAATTGTTGTATACTGAAATAAATACTTTTTGATTTTTGGATTTTTTCAATTTTCTATGTCTTACAACGGTACTTCAAAAATTTTCAAATTTTTTGAAAATTTCAGAGTATACTAAACAATTTAAGAGCTTTAATTTCGTAGTTGGCAATTTTTTTAGTTTTTAAGATATGCGCCTTTAAAGTAAAAGCACGCATAGAGTGCTTCTCTGCGTCGCGCTCTCACTTTAAAGGCGCATATCTCAAAAACTAGAAAAGCTACAAAAAAGTTGTCAACTACAAAAATGAATCTCTATTTTTTAAAAGTATACTCTGAAACTTTTGAGACAAATCGACAAATTCTGAAATGCTTTTGTAGACTGTTTTCCACAACTTCCGTGCCTATTAATTGTTGACTTTTCCAATTTTCAAAAGCTCAAAAGCCCTACAATGGTACTTCAGAATTTTTCAATTTTTCTGAAAATTTCAGAGCATTTTTAACAAAAATACAGCTCTATTTTTGTAGTATATTTTGTAGCTTAGCTAGTTTTTGAGATATGCGCCTTTAAAGAGATAGCGCGCTTTCTGCTATTCTAGTATGGGCGAGCCCCCCAACCTTCGGGACGCGGTATCCTAGCATAGATTCTAGGATTATAATATTGATTATAAAACACAGGACACGTTAGATTTTTCGATTTTCTGATCTACCAATACTTCCGAGGGCGACGGCGTTTTTTCGATTTTCAAATAGACAGACGTGGGACGCGGGGACTGCTGGAAAAAAACT